AATCCTGTCAAACTTAATGACAGTTGAACAAGTGAACGTGAACTTTTATACCCATTACCCTTCCCGTACTGGGTTAAACTCCTGGCTCCAAATGCAGCAGAGAAGTAGGGCCCTGAGCTGGGAACTCACACTGTAAGAGAGTCAGCAGTGAATTCTTGGATCTCACACCGGTATTGAGATAATTGTCTGCAGTGATAAGCAATGCATTTTTCTCCCCAAGGAGCAGAAGTGAAAGAAAATACTTGCTTGACTCATCCTTACCTAGTTCTTGCATCAAAAGCTGAAGCACACAGTCACCCACTACAGTGAGAAGTGCCTGCTCCAGCTTTCCAGATATATCATGAGGAAAGCAGAAAGGAATTTACTACGTTTACAGGTTTTCTATCCACTTCGGTGAAGAGATTTAATGATATTGGGAGAAACAAAACACTGAGTTAAACCTGAGCAATTCCCCAGGCACAGACCCTTTACACTGTCTGTTGTCATAGCTAAATGAGACTGCACAGTTGAATATCAATCTGTTGTGTTGACACTAAAGGGACTGTACTAAAACCAGCAATGTATAAACACCCAGACTTCTCTGGTTAGACAAGGAGAGTCTCTTGTCCAAAGAGACTCAGACCAGGACACACAAAATAATTTTGCTGGTCTACCTACATCTACAGACAAGCATTCAGAAAGACACAACTCTGCCAGCAAAAAAAAAAAAAAAAAAAAAAAAAAAAAAAAAAAAAATCACAGGCACACTATCTGGTCTTAACCATAAAGTGACACAAGCCTGTCACTGCTGGCAAGACCAAGCTAAGCCAGAGTAGGTCTACAAAAGCATCATCTTGCCTTGGGTGGTAGAGCCATTGAGCCCCATGAGGATGAACATGTGCAACAAAACACCCCTCTCACATCAAGTATAACACACACTGCCTGTGGTCTTCGGTCTGCTGTCAGTGAGATTCCTGCCACCTTCCCACGTGCCCACATTCCTCTCATAATTATTTCATTTCAAGGTTCTCCAGTTCTTCATGCTTTAAGGGAAGATCCAAATGGACTGGAATGCATGTAACTAGAAAGGCATAAAGAAAGCATTAAATGGAATTGCCTTAGAAAGACAGATTTGTTGAGGTACTGGTTGCATACTTGGGGTTCATGATCCTCACTTCTAATTCCACCAGTACAAGACCTGAGAAGGAAGGATCCATCCTCAAAACTATTGCCAGCTATTTAGTTGCATGATGCCTATCAATTTCAGAGGTGAGAGACCAAGCCAACTGGCATACCACCATTCCTACTCCAGCTGGAAAGGATGAGCTGCTTACAGAGGGCTCGAGTGCAGCCAGGGCTGGAATATAGGTACACTCCCACCACCCCTCTTCATCAGCCTTCACAAACGGCCATTTCCCAATGCTATTGAAATTTGAAACTAAGGCCCAGATCACAGTCACTTCCACTGAAAGGACAAGGTTTTTTCTTTCAGACCTCCAAACAAGAGTGATGGAGTGAAGTGTACAGCAGAAGACTGCTGTGTTTGTAGTTTCCTATTGGCTGAACTTGAGCGCAATGGTCCCTCTCACACTGCAACTGATGTTGGACCTTCTCCAGAAGGACAGTCTCCAGCCATGACCCCCTCCCACCCCACAGATGGGAAAGGCTGGGGAGGTCATTAGCTCCTGGTTAAGCACTTCTGCTCTGAGAGACACTTGGCAAGCAATTTGGGAAAATGATAGGACATCATCTGGAGAAGTTAGTCTCATCTAATGGCATCTTTGGGGGGGGGTGGCGGGGCAGAGTGAGGGAAATTAGACTCTGCTAGTTTTCCCTTCTAGCAGACTATGGAAAAGGTCTGCATGATTGCCTTTGTATTGTCTAGGGACACAGCTTAGCAGTGGATGTGGCTGTGTTAAGTTTACCACTGGACTTAATGATCTTAAAGGTCTTTTCCAAACAAGAGGATTTTATGATTTCCATTAGGAAACACCTAATGTATTGAAACAAGAAGTGTGCTACCAAAATGAACAGTCCTGCTCCAAGCCATACATTCCCCCTCCTCCTTTGCAGCAAGTTTCGTGATACTACAACCACTGCACAAACCCCTGCTGAACCAATGGAAAACTATTGCCTCATGCTTTCCCCCCCACCATCCTCTTTTTGGTGGCTTACTTGTTCATAGCATCAGTGGGTTGATACAATCCTTTTGTGGTTGCATGGTCACTAGACCTGGGGAAATCATAAAACAATGGATTAGAGACCATGCTTGCCAGCAATAACCTGCGCCTTCACTGGATGAGATATGGACTAGAAAACACTTCTTGTCAATTCCTTTCCTTTTAAAAATTTACCAGACTGAAAGCTGAGTCATTGAGAAAGAGGAAGAGATTTTTTAGCTGAGCTATTTAAAACACAGGTTCAGTTAACAACTATTTAGCACGAAGTTGAAGACACACTTGAGAAGAAAGACATTTTTAACTCACCAGTTAAACTCTTTCACTTAATATGTGAGACACCTGTCAAGATACACTGTTCTCAAAAAGGAAAAAAAAGCATTCAACACACCCAGACCCCCCTCTCACACCCTCCTGAAATACCAGGCATGGCATTCCATCTCATATATTACCATACTGATATCGGGGAAAGTGATAATGTCCGTTATTTAAGACCTTAGCACTCCCTTGTCCAGAAAGTGCTATTTAATGCCCAAGATCCCAGGCTGTGTCGCCAGACCTAAGATTCGTTTTCCAAAAAGCACTATTCAGGCAAAGAAAACACAATTGTTTTAAAAAGGCTTTGCCTCCTGCTAGTCTAAAGAGAGTTTATATTTGCCATAACAAACTAACAAGATTTCAAAAAAAAACTTCAGCAAAACAAACTCTGGAAACAGTTGCATTGCTGAGGATACAAAGCAACACAGCATCTTCGAAAATTAGACCCAAAAAGTAAAATGTGTTAGATTTTTGTAATGATTTTTCATATGGATTTTACTTTATATCACAACAAATTTGAAGTCCCAGCAAGATACAAATTTTTACTTTAAATTACGTAGCATACGCTCAAGCATTAAATCTGTTCCTGCCCATAAACTCAGCCTAGACAGATGACCACAGCAAGCCTATATATGGGCATACTCATTCCGGTTTTCCTAAGCCTCTTCCTAGTGGAGTAAACAAAAATAAATTTGTATTAAACCAAAGAGTTTCCATTGAGCCATTTTGCACTGACTTTAGCTAAACCCTAAAAAGGTGCCCTTTTAAAAGAGCACCTGAAGTCTAAAGGCTTGCTTTGGTCAAGTTTAACACATCCTTTCAGCCACCTTCATTAGCTGAGTGGAAAGTACTAAGAGAAAAGAGAGTCAGAAGACTTCCCTTTTATGGAGATAGCATAATGGAAAGTGACAAATATTTCTGACTGCCGTAGAAAATATAAACAGATTTTATAGATGTTTTTTCTAATTTAAACAAAAAAAAGCCCAAAAAACCAACTAAGCCCAAAAAAACCCACTGCATCTCACAGCTATTTGCATCTCCCCTTAGAGAATATAAATGGCACTCAGCCACCGTTCCCTTCCCACAGTGAACACGAATTTGTCTCCTCCTCAGCAGGAGCAAAGTGAGAAAAGTGTGCAAGCTCAGTCCTCCCGCCTGGAAATCACAGCCCATCTCCCTGCTGTCAAGAGACAGGGAAGACTTGCCAGCACCAGTTGGATCCTCAAACTATACATCATAACTAAGCTCTTTCCTGCCTTCACTCAGCAACGCAGGAGCTCCTTTGCAACCAGCTAGAGGAGGGTAAGGAAAAAAGCCCACCAAAAATCGTTTAAGTTGCTAAGTGCATTATGTAGCTAAAACCAAAAAGCAGGAGAGGGTTAGAGGACACATCTACGTCAACAGTTCTCTTGCAGAATTTTCGGGATAGACTTTTCCCCTTATTCTTTCCCAACCCCCACTGACACAACACCCACAAGAGTTAAAACATCAATAGGACAGTATTAGTGGGCTTCCACAGAGAGGGACATCAGAGACAACAATCGTGTGCACACACATTCATACATTCAAGGGTACATACATTCTTATAACACATATATATAAAGGAAAACCCAACTGCTAATGGATAGAAAAAAATGCCAGAAACAGGAGATGCAGTGGGCAGGGTGGTCCCCATAATCCTCACAACTTTCTCAACTCTGCCTGTGCCTACTATGATCAAAATGTGTGGGTCTTTTCTTTAAGAATGGTAGGTTTGCTGATCTTAATGTTTTTGTTCCTACAAGGATTTATAAAAAACAAACAAACAACAAAAACCACAAACAAACCTAACACAAACCTCTTCAGGAAGGACAGAAATTTTAGGTTTATCTGATTTGATAAAATCTGTCCTATTGAAGTCCACTTACAAAAATAATACTAAAAAGCTCAACACATCAGTTACCCAACTGAGAAGCACCAGCCAACTTTGCTTTTATTTAAACAAATCTTGTATGACAGACTGTCGGGAGTATTTGAATTTTCCTTCAAGATAACACACTTTGCTGTTCCTATGACATGTCCATTCTCTTATTCTTTTAAAAAAGGCACTCGGTTCTTATGCATTATCTTTCATCTGACAAATTAATAAGAAAAGGACTAATTTGATCACCTTTTTCAACCATCCAATTATCAGTTTCCATCAGCATCCACACTAGAATTCTCAGTAATGAGAAACTCAGTGTGCAGAAATATCAATGCCACTATATCCGAAAGTGATATTCTCGATTTTGGATAGCCAGGTGGAAACCTTTGCGGAGGGATTCTCACCCACAGCTCACACCTCCTACAGTGACTACTGTAGGTGTCAGTTTATCTTAATCGAGACCATTAAAAATCTTGACTTAAATATTCAGTTACACTTGCTCCTAGATTCCTCTGGACACAACATATGGGCCAACCGGAGGCTTAGGTACCTAAAATTATTTTGGAAGTTGAGGTTACCCAGCAATCGACTCTGCAGCAGTAACAATAAAACACCTTTATTACCACTGCAGCACAGACAGGGTCCTCTGTTGGGTTGAAACAGCTCTGTTCAGCTTCCACATCCTTGAGCTGAGTCTCAGCCACTGAGCTCTCCTCCATCCAACACTTCTGCAGCTGGTAGGAGAGAAAGCGAGCACTCAGTCTGAGAAGTAAGCCCCACAGAGACACTCTGATGCCCTCATTCAGGCTGAAAATAAGCTTGCTTCATCATCAAGGGGGTGGGGGGACTGCCTACTTAGTTTTATTTTTTCCCATTCCAAAGATATCACTATTCATTAAAGTCACATTTAAGCTCAGACAGCCAAAGCCCTTGGGATCACTGATAAAACAGAAGCAGAAAATCTTGATATATATACCCAAAACAGACATCACTTTAAGGACCTCCTCAAAGGTTTCCATAAACCTGAGAGCCAACTGAGACAAAACACAGTCCTGCTGATGGAACCAAAAGCCATGCTAGAAAGACCACTGGTTATTTGTGAATGCTGAAATCACATAACGTGGTACCACTGGTATACCAGACATCCAAGCTCCGTGTGGAAAAGGGCATTTCAAGCAACTGCAGTTAATAACACACTGCTACCTCCAAGTAGCCAAATTAATTTGAAAATGACAGATAAAGATTCAACAGTCTTCATTTCTTCCTGCAGGAACCAAAATTACCTGTCAAGTTATCCACCTCATTTTGGCTTACTCATTAAACTGTTCAACTGCAATTACGTTGTGAGCAAAACTCATGGCATCTTTGGCTTTTCTCCCCCAACAAGGTCTTCTCAGAGCAGAGTCTCCTGGAACCTGGGGCTGGAGATTTTTCTTCCATCACGGTCTTTGTGGTTACAGTGAAAAACCCTCATCAAACCAGAAAACTCAAAATTAATTACCTCTCCTACCACCACAGTGCTCTGAGTGTTTCTGTAATTAGTGTATCTCAAGCTCTTCTAGAGAAAGGACTGGCACCCTACCACCAAGAGCCAGCAATTTCTTACGTGTAAATCGTGCTTTGATAGCAATGCCTTTAGTCACCTTTGTGAAATGACGCACCAGCACATGGCAAGTGCCTTCCCCTGCCCCTCAGTCCTTCTTTTGAACCTTCTGCCTTTAAACCAGGAACAGCAAACCATCACTTCCTCATGGGAACCTGGCACAGTCAGCTACCGACTAGGCTTCAACCTGAAAGCCACAAACACACATGCTCCCCACATCCAAACTCACACCCACCGTGAGCTTGATGTATGCTTACTTGTGAAGCAGTTTATTCCTTTTATCAACATAACCAGAAACAGTGTTTTTGCATGCATACAAACAGACAATACATGAACATCTTGCAACATGTATTTTGTGTAATTTAACCAAGGAAAACTTGGTTAGAATCAGTAAACTCGTAAGTTGCTCTGAAGGACTAAATGGCTTCCTCTTCATACTATTTGGGTAACAGTCAAAGCCTTTTGCAAAATGATGAATGAAAAACATATTCCTCAGCTCATGCTTTGTTCAATAATAACCAAGATCATATTGAAGCTGCAAATAGATTTAAAACAATTGCAGCAATGCTATTTCAGATAATATCCAGTACAGAATTTTGTGCAGAAGACAGTGAAAGTTTCGTATATCAAAAACCTTCAAAACAACCAGATGTCTCCGTTTAAGTTATTTAAACCCCCAACACCCTGTTTCTGGGCCTTTTTTTCCTGTAGAATACAACCTTATTTACATAGCATCTCATTTTAATAGGCATCCTAAGCATTTCCAAAAAAAAAAAAAATCACAAAACCAGATGGCAAAACAAACATTCTAGATTAAAAGGAAAAAAACTCCACAATTAAAACCAGTACATAAGCTTAAATAACAGCAACATTGGCTACATCCAAAGAGGATTTATGCAAATTACTTTTTTCAGGCACTAAGGATCTTTTTCAGCAGAATACACATTAAGAGACCAGAGACATCTAATCAAACAGATCCTGGAGGGGCGAAACCTTTCACAGTGTCAGATGAACAGAATCCCTCAGGGAGATGGTGGTGTTCATTTCATTTAATTGACATTTTGCTATTTCTGCTTTCTGAAGAGCTTCTGCAGAGTCAAGAGCAATTGTGGGCCAGAATCAGGGCCAGGTTTACAGCCGGGGTAACGAGATGCAGACCAATTAACCGGTAAAGAGTTACATTTATTTACATTAAGTGGTGATTTTGATCTGAGTGTTTTAATGGGATGATGCTGGATGACATAGTAGGCAACACATCAGAAATCATTCATCTACGTAGGTGGCATAAACATGTAGTAAACATAATTTTCATGAATTATATCCATTACCGAAAGCAATAATTATACAGCCAGCATCCTAGTTTCCATGTATGGGTTTGGTGGTATGCTGCTTTTTAAAAAGAAATATTTCATTTTCTGTCTAAACTGCTCCATCACAGAGGCAACACAGCTCTCCACCTCTGACATATTTAGCCACACCGCCTCTGGGCTTTATAAACGTAGAGATGTACCTAAAACAAGCCCACTGGTGTTTCCGAAGTCACCCCGGCACGCTGCCACCGCACGTGTCCTGGCAATGACTCCAGCACGCTGGCAAAGCTGTCACCGGGAGCTGCACATGGCAGCGTGCCCGCCATGAACCTGTCCCAGGGTGGCCCCCCAGCCTGATCACAGCCCCAAGGTTAAACCAAAGACCAAGTGATAGCTCACCAACAGAAAACATCTGTGGATCTGCCTGCTGAAAAAAAAGGAGCTGGTTTCCACAATCCCGTGATCTAGCGAATGGCATCACTGCCCATCGTAGGAAAGTTGAAACTAAATGATCTTTGTCTCTTCCAACCCGAACTATTCTATGATTCCGTAACTGCGTGGGACAAATACCTACTCCAGTTAATGAAAAATCCTAATTTCTTGTTTGTTGTAACTACGACAGCCGCGCTACCCAGGCTTTCCCAGAAGTTTAACCACGCTGCTCGGTGCCGCCACGGCTCCTCCTGAGCTGATGCCGCCGCACCTCTTATCTACCCCGCAATGGACATTTTGCCCACGAAAGGACACTTAAAATGAAAACAAGAGATGCACTTTCCTCGAATCCCTTGGAGAGTCAGCCAGCCTGTTGGGAACGGGCAGGTTCCAACAGCCTGTGCCCCTGCCTACGGTTCCCGCGCTACTCTGCTCCATCACACCGCGTATAATCTTCCTCTGATCCCGCAATAAG